GTTTAACGTTATATTCGTTGCATACATATACTTCGTAGTAGACATCCTTAACTCCTTTCTGCTGTCTGTTGTTCTGTTGTCCGTGTTTCTTTGTTTGAATATGGCGCTTATCACATGATGTGTGGTATCAGCGTTTGGTATCGGGGCATTTTAACGAGTACGAGTACGAGTACAGGAGCTCAGTATCGGGCCCGATACCGATACCAGTATCGGTATCGGTGCATCCCTACTTTAAATATAACTTGTTTAGGCTGGGCGTTTATAATAAATGTTTAAAGTGAATGCCACTATAAATTCTGTATGTTTTATACTTATATTTTTAATTCCTTTTTCTGTTCTTAATACTGCTAAATTAAAGGGATTCATTGTGGAGTGAGGGGAATATAAATACATGTTTATAATGGTTGTAAATGTTTCATTTATTTTACATTATTTCTGAATGAAATTATAAAATGTGTCTTATACATCAATCGACTTATACACAAATGCAACTTATCTTTGTGTCATAAAGTGCTCATAAAAAATAAGGTAGAGGTGGTACAAGAATAGAACTGCCATGTATGTACAAGTACGCATACAGTACAGTATAAATGAGTGTCAATTTAGAATAAAAATTTAAAAGCTTCATTTGTACTTGTACTATGCGGCCCCTCACTTATATAAAAAAAAAACTCGATGTGGCCCTCGATTCAAAAAGTTTGCCTTCCCCTGCCATAAAGGCTTAGATACAGTGTTTAGCCTCAATTACGTAAAGTGTTTTTACTTCCTCAGGCCTAACCCCACACGCCAGTTCCTCTGCCACGGATGTCTGCTTTGCCCGGCAGCACAACATCTCTGACAACAACAACCAGTGTTTCTCCAGCACCAATGGACATTTACCTAACAGCATGGCCACGCAGAGACCTGGTGCCATAGACAACCAGCCTCTGGTGACCACCGAGCCCATGAAGGTGAGTGGACCATGTGCTCAGAACACCCACTGAAACCAGGAAGCCTCTGATCCTCTTGTCCATCAAAATGACTGCTAAAGTGCATTCAATAGAACTGCAGGGAAAATGACATCTTCAAGCTGATTTTCTTCTAATCCATCTAATTATAGCTTTAGAGAGCTCAAAACTACACTAAAGTGCCGTTTTTGAAATCACCTAGAACAAATTAATCCTGTTATGAATGGCCTGTAACATTTGTGTTCTAGAAAATGAATGCTTTTATGTGAAGCTAAAAGCATTTTTAAATAAAACTACTTGCTTCAGTAATGCCTTGTCACAAACAGGTCAGTTCCATATACTAGAAGAATAATGGTACATTTAATAAGAGTGGAATATATACATTTTCTTTATAAAAATTAGATTTTGCACCTGTTACTGTTGTTAATAAAAATTTTGTATGTGTATTTAATTTTGGCAGCATATATTGTTTTTTTTATATATAATATTAAAACATTTATACATAATATTAAAATATAGTAAAATAATATAATTTTTCATAATTTGTTTTTGATTGTGGTAATGAAGTCCTTTTCATGCATGAATAGTAAATCAAACTTTTTTGTCATAATTTATGCAGTAGAGGTTTAAAATCATTTTGAATGCAGAATGACCATGAAAAGTATTTAAAATAATGGTCATGTGAAATCTGACCTGTGAACTTCTCACTCAGTCAAATTGATTTATTTCTTAAGCAAGTGCACCAGTATAGTCAAGCCCCATGCATCTCTCCATTGTGCTTCTGCTGTCTCTTCTTCCTTCAGGTCATCATGTCTATAGTCGCAGCTCAACCAGAGCTGGAACTCTTTCCCCGCTACCTTATGTTCCTGCGCCAGCAACCGGCCACACGCAGCCCTCAGTCTAACATCTGGGTCAATATGGGTATGAGCAGCCTGCGAATGTTCCCTCCACATATACCCCGAGGTAACGTAAGCCTGCAGCAAGAGAGAGGCTCCCTCCACCGCCTTGACAACCTCCTCTAATCTCCTAAAACACCCAGCTCGGTCTCACCAAAATGACCTGCCTGGATTACTAAAGAGCCAAATCCTGATGCCAACACCTAAAGTCATCATCTGAGTTCAAAAAACTATAATGTAACTCCATGACAGCTAAATATAAATCCTTGTTGAATACATACAAAAATACATCCGAATATTTAATTTTGTGAAACATAAAAACACCTGTAAGTGATTGTCAAACTCACCGCTGACCTAATAGCGGGTTTCCTTAGTGTTGCGCTCTGAAAGTGGGTAGGCAATAATCTAATTTGTCATGGCTTTGTCAGACTCAGAAGACTGTTTGGTGTGGGTAAAGATTGGGCGCTCTCTGATGTCCTGTAATTGTTTGCTTTGCTGTCTTACCAATCTTTTTTTTTTTTTTGTCTCCTATGAAATCAATAATTGCTGTACAAATCTTTTTAATAAGATTGGACTAATTAAAAAAATTTGCCTTGATTTTTATTTAAATCACCCAGACTAATGAATTGATTAATGATCCCTTTGAAAATGACCTTTGCCCTTTCTTGCTGCTACCTTACAACTAATCCTCAGTCTGTCAATCAGTTATTGGGGCTGTGTGTGTTATATATTGATCTGTGTGCTCCTTGTGACTGGTTGATTTAATAGCATGCATATTAGGATATATGGATTGGCTGAAACTTTACATTTCTCATTATTGCATAAAAATGAAATCATAAAAGTTTTACTTGACAAACTTAGCACAGTAGGTTAAATTAAGTTTACCTTCTCAGTGACTTAAAGTTAGTTTTTGAATATATAACAACACAGCAGGGTGGAAAAGCTCTAAAGGGTTGTATTTAAATATTTTATTGCATGTGACAAAGAGAATGCTAAAGGCTGCTTCATTCCCAACTCAGGAAACGTTCCTTCTCCGAACGCCCCTCTGAAGCGAGTGCTGGCATACACAGGCTGTTTCAGCAGGATGGGCACCATTAAAGACATTCATGATTACCTGTCCCAGAGGTTACGCATCAAAGAAGAGGACATGCGCCTCTGGCTCTACAACAGTGAGGTGGGGACCTCCTTAACAGATACTGAAGAAACTCTGATCAAAGACATTCATATGCAAATCTGCCCTCATTATAAAGATACCGATGTCACCTCACAGCATTGAACTGGGAGGAAATGCTACAAAATGTTAATTCCTATGTTCACATATTTTAAAATTTAAACCAGAATGTTTGGATGGAGCATCTCAATGGATTGTCATTTTAAAATAAATAAATAAATAGCCACTGGTGGTATTAGGGGGAGGAGGATTCTAATTCTAGAGAGCATTTGATTTGACAAAAATGGGTAAAAAAAAAAAAAAGGGTAACATATACATTGCCATTCTAAAGTTTGGAGTCAGTAAGAATTTTTTTAAATGTTTTTAAAAGAAGGCTCTTCTCGCCAAGACTGCATTTATTGCATAATACAATAAAAACAATAATACTGTGAAATGTTTTAATTTAAAGTAACTGTACTTTATTTTTATATATTTTCAAAAGTTATTTATTCCTAATAGACCTAAAACTACAAGCCACAAAACTCAAATTTTAATTGAGGTCTTTAATAATTCATGATACATGCATTGTATTGTATACTAATGTTGTTTTATATTGTCTTTTTATCAGAATTACCTCACTCTCCTGGACGATGAAGATCACACTTTAGAAAGTTTGAAAATTCAAGACGAACAGCACTTAGTCATTGAGGGTATGTCTGTGACATTTATCTGTCTTAATTAAAGTTTTATCTCATTTCACATTTGCTGAGCTGTGTGGATTAAACTGCAAAGCATGCTTGGCTGTACTGATAGAAAAGGAAAAATGATTAATATGTCTTTCCCTCTCTCCAGTTCGAAACAAAGATATGAGCTGGCCAGAGGAAATGTCTTTCATTGCAAACAGCAGCAAAATCGACAGACACAAAGGTAATGTCAGAGGTCTTGGAAAGTGATGGAAAAATCTATGCAAATTGGAGGCTGGCCAAGCCATCTACAAATGTCAAAATGTTTATCTGAGTATGACCTTGCCTAGATGGCACTACAGTGCAATTCTTTAGGCCGGTTTCTTGTATCAAAGCACATATCAAGTAAATTATTAACACAGGGCTGCAAGCAACAAGAGTCCAAGAAGCAATTACATAAAGCAATATAAAAGTCATATCAAGACAATGTTGTCATCGAACTCTATGAAATACTGAATAATTGGACTTTCTTGGAGATAGTGCTCAAGTTGTTGTGCCAGTGAAGTTTAAATTTAATCAAACCTTCAGTCTATTATAAATGTGTATAAATTTAGCTATTTCTCTTGCAGTTCCTACCGAGAAAGGTGCCACAGGTTTGAGTAACCTGGGAAACACATGCTTCATGAACTCCAGTATTCAGTGTGTAAGCAATACCAAGCCCCTCACTGAGTACTTTATCTCAGGGCGACACCTTTATGAGCTTAACAGGTACGGAGACTTGGTCAGTGCCTTTTTTTTAAACTCAAACCACTTGTAACTACTAAGTTAATGTGTAGTCACATTTACCGTTGCTTTTTAAAATTTTGTGTCGGGAGTTTTGTGCGGGGCTAAGAAGATCCCCATGCAGATTTTGCTTACGTTCGAGTTGGCCACACAATGTTGATCAGCAGAAAACTGCTTGGTTTGAAAGTGGCTTCTGTGATATCTGCCATACCACTTGACCAATGAGCTGTGTCTTGCCTTGACAGAACCAATCCAATCGGAATGCGTGGTCACATGGCCAAATGCTATGGTGATTTGGTACAGGAACTCTGGAGCGGCACCCAGAAGAACGTTGCACCTCTGAAACTCAGAGTGAGTTTTTAACATCTCTATAATCATGAGCATCAAACCTAAATGTTTCCATTAAAATTCTTATGCCATTTTTTAAAAACATTTTTGTAGTGGACGATAGCAAAGTATGCACCAAGATTCAACGGCTTCCAGCAGCAAGACTCACAGGAGCTTTTGGCCTTCCTGTTGGATGGGCTTCACGAAGACTTGAATCGTGTGCATGAGAAGCCGTACGTGGAGCTCAAGGACAGCGATGGACGGCCAGATCATGAAGTGGCCACAGAGGTCAGTGTCAAACTACTGTTTTTCAGCCCCTGGCAGGCTCAACACATCAGCTAAGCACTCCTAAATGAACCTAAATGGGCACACTGATGATACGCTAATGTGTCGTGGCCTAATGGTTAGAGAGTTGGACTCGTAACCCAAAGGTTGCGGGTTCGAGTCTCATACCGGCAGGGATTGTAGGTGGGGGGAGTGAATGTACAGCGCTCTCTTCCACCTTCAATACCACGACTGAGGTGCCCTTGAGCAAGGCACCGAACCCCCAACTGCTTCCCGGGCGCCGCAGCAAAAAATGGCTGCCCACTGCTCCGGGTGTGTGTTCACGGTGTGTGTGTGTTCACTGCTGTGTGTGTGCACTTTGGATGGGATAAATGCAGAGCACTAATTCTGAGTATGGGTCACCATACTTGGCCACGTGTCACTTCACTCACATGTCACTTCACTCACTCACTCACTCACTCACTAATGGGAAGTCGTTTCTTCACCCTGAGGACAATTACGTGTTTCTCGTTGCAGGCCTGGGAAAACCATTTGCGGAGAAATCGTTCTATTGTGGTCGACCTCTTCCATGGGCAGCTCAGGTCCCAGGTGAAGTGCAAGACCTGTGGCCATATCAGTGCCCGCTTCGATCCCTTTAACTTCCTGTCGCTGCCGCTTCCCATGGACAGCTCCATGCACTTAGAAATCACAGGTGAAGCCAAGCAGAGAGAAAACATAAACACTTTAAAATCCATCAGCAGATCCGTCAGTCTTACATAATAGCTTTTTTGACTTGCAGTTATCAAACTTGACGGCTCCACTCCGGTGCGGTACGGGCTCCGTCTCAACATGGATGAGAAGTACATGGGCCTGAAGAAACAGCTGAGTGAGCTGTGCAGCCTGAAACCTGAGCAGATTCTACTGGCTGAGGTTCACACGTCCAACATCAAGGTCAGCTCAACTCGCCACATCAGACACTGCTGTTGATGCAATCCATGTGGCCTGGCTTTTAAGCAAATGCTTGTCTTTGGTCTAGAACTTTCCTCAAGACAATCAGAAGGTTCGACACTCTGTGAATGGCTTTCTCTGTGCATTTGAGATCCCTGTGCCTGGCTCGCCCACCTCAGTCACCTCTCCAATGATAACAGGTAACAAAGATTGATTGCAACTATCTTTTTCCTTAAAGGAATAGTTCACCCAAAAATGAAAATTTGCTGAAAATGTACTCACCAACAGGTAGTCCAACATGTAGACGAGTTTGTGTCTTCATCGAAATTTAGCATTATATCACTTGTTCACCAATGGATCCTCTGCAGTGAATTGGAGCCGTCAGAATGAGAGTCCAAACAGCTGATAAAAATCCCATTATCACAGTAATCCACAAGTAATTCACACGACTCCAGTCCATCAATTAATGTCTTCTGAAGTTAAAAGCTGCACCCATTCACTGCAGAGGATCCATTGGTCATGTAAAGTGATGTAATGCTGAAATGAAGATGGGAGATGAAGAAACAAACTCTTGCCTGGTCTAAGGGGGAGTAAGTTAAAAGCTAATTTTCATTTTTGGGTCAACTATTTCTTTAAAAGACAAGTTTTGATTTAGCATGGACACTCTTATTTGTCATTGACCCATAAACGTCTCCTTTAGAAAAACCACCTATGGCCAATGGGACAGCAGGGAACAATAACATTGGAAAGACTGGCCTGATTCCTAATGGCATGCCCAGCACAGTGGTCCCCTGCACACCAGAGAAGCCCCTCGCCAATGGTATTCCTAATGGCCATGCTGTGCCCATGCAAGACAGCCCCTTTATCGGCTACATCATTGCCATGCACAGAAAGATGGTGAGATTAACTGATATATTCACTGTTAGACTTCACATGATGGTCGTAAGCATCCTAAGTGCAAGGTCTGTCCCCTCAGATGCGGACAGAGCTGTACTTCCTGTCCTCTCAGAAGAACAGGCCCAGTCTGTTCGGTATGCCGCTGATTGTGCCATGCACAGTTCACACGTGTAAGAAGGACCTGTATGATGCTGTGTGGATCCAGGTTTCCCGACTTGCCAGCCCTCTGCCCCCACAGGAAGCCAGCAACCATGCTCAAGACTGGTCAGTGGCATCTGCAACTCACAAGGATTATGTTGATGATTAGTTTGGATTTTTTTTTTTTTTTGCCAAAACATTTTAAGAAAATTTAAGGTCAGTAAGATTTTTTAATGTTCTCGATAGAAGTAAAACAGTAATATTGTGAAATATTATTACAATGTAAAATAACTGTTTCTATTTTAATATATTTTTGTAATTTGTCATTTATTCCTGTGATGTCAAAGCTGCATTTTCAGCAGCCATTACTCTGGTCTTTAGTGTCACATGATCCTTAAGAAATGATTCTAATATGCAGATTTGGTTCTCAAGAAACATTTCTTCTTCTTCTTATGATTATTATTGTTGAAAGAGTTTTGCTGTGTAATATTTTCACGGTAAGCATGATACCTTTTTCAGGATTCTTTGATGAATGAAAAGTTCAATAGAAAGTAAAATATAGCAATAGAGTATAAATGTTACAAAATATTGTCATTTTTGATCAATGTAATGTGTCACTGCTGAATAAAAGTAGTAATTTATTTAAAACAAACAAAAAAAAATCTTACTGACCCCAAACTTTTGAAAGGTAGTGTATATTATCATAATAAAATGTACTAAAAGTTGTTAGATTTTTAATGCAGTCATTTGCATTAAACACACCTGGCCAATCCCATTTCCCCTCACAATTATTTCCTGTCTCCTCTCTATTGTCTCTGTCAGTAGAAAATAGTAAAAAGCCCTCTAAAACATCAGGTGACAAATAAATGTCTGAGACCACTTGTGAAATTGCTTCTATTTTGCAAACTGTTTATTTCTAGGTTTCAACTTCCCAGATTTTCAGTGTGGTCTCTCTACATGTGTACAGTAGAGGTCCTCGCTCAGTTATGTGACATGTCATACTCTCTTCCAGTGATGACAGTATGGGTTACCAGTACCCCTTCACTCTGCGAGTGGTGCAGAAAGATGGTAATTCCTGTGCTTGGTGTCCTTGGTACAGGTAAGGCATTTAAGTTCAGCGGTTGTGCATGCACATATCTCATACTGCAGCGTGGGTTGTCATGACTGACAAGGGTTGTCGGTGACTTTGCCAGGTTCTGCAGAGGCTGCACAGTGGACTGTAATGAAGACAGAGCGTCATTGGGGAATGCCTACATTGCTGTAGACTGGGACCCCACCGCCTTGCACCTTCGTTACCAGACCTCTCAGGAAAGGGTGAGTGCTATAAGGATGCTGTAAGTGTGCTATAAGTATTTCAGTCAGTTCAAGTTTTGTCCCTGTGTGAAGGGTGAAGTCTTTATGTTACTGGATTCAGTCTGACGATGCACTGCAGGACTTAATATATCCCTTAAGCCCAGGAAAAAACGAGCTGATGGGCAATGTCGGGTGGTTTTTGAGCACCGGTTGGCATTAGTTTATTCAGTGTGTTCCACACAGTTGGCTCTAGTCAGACGCTGACAGCTGTATTTCGGCCGATTCTGTATGTCAAATCAGCAGCAGAGCTTGTCGGTGAGAAAGAGAACTCTGATTGGCTATTCAGCTTAGCGAATGAGTGCACGAGAAAAATGGAACTGACGAAAGCAAAGCAATGATGGAGAAAAGAGGGAATGCACAGACACTTGATCTCATTCTATCTGTTTCTTTCTTTATCCACAAGACCATGACCCAAGGGCTGACAATGCCAGTGCCATTTGCAGCTTAGCAGACATGATTGAAAAAAAGCTACACAAATCCATTAATAATAAGCATGCCTGGTGTAAACAATGGTAAAAGTGCTGCTTGCTTTGTATATCCATAGTTCTAGCTATTCAGGTTTCCCTGTTTGAATGCCGAATACAGACTGCTGCCACCTGCTGGTATGGCAGACAGGCGCTTTTTTCGAAACTTTCGAAACTAAATCATCCGCGATCGTCTTGTCTGTCTCACTCACTCTTCTTGTCAGTCAGCTCGACTCACTCTCCTCACTGGAGAAATTAAATCTGATCTGTGATGCGACTGTCGTTCAGCACGCTGCATTGAGCAGCCGTGTTCAGTTTTTAATCTGTTCTTTTACTGAACTAAATTATTTTTATTACTATAAAAAATCAAAACGACGGTGGGGGTCGGTGACGCGGTGGGCAAGTGACATAACCGGTGTTGCGGCTTAACACCGGTATCACCGTCCGCACCGTCTATCGCGGCAAGCCTAGTTCTTTCATGCAAGCGCAGAGCGTACATGCTAGTTGGACATCGGCTGTAGTCTGTCCAGTGTGTTCTAGTGCAACTTTTTTTTTTGCCTCAATGCAGGCAATGCGAGACAATACGAGGCGATGCCATAGTCGGCTTTCCTCAGCACTTTGTCGTCGGTTTAGTGTGTCCCTACCCTTAATGATTACTCTGCCAATGCTGCCGTTTCCTGTGAGGAGATTCACTTCCATCTCACATCACAGCTGAGAAATCCATTAAAAGCAATATTGTATGATTAATTGTTTTCTGGGTCTGCTTCTTATTTTACCTTGAGCAAAAGTCCCTGATAAGCCTTGAACTGCTAATTATGATCTGTCATTACTATTTGCAAAAGACTCGTTCTGAAGGCAAAAGCTCCTGCAATGTCATAGTAAATCGGTTGTTTAAAATTTCTAGATGACGGAATGAAATCCATGGTTTTTGCACTTGTTATGGTACATTTGAGACTAGAACTGTCCGTTTTATAACTTACAAACAGGTCTGTAAATACAAATTTTTAATTGTACCTTCAAAAGAAATGCCTTGAAATATAATTACAAATTAATTCCTAGTTGCATAATTATTCAAATCTTTTAAAGAATCTATTTTTGTAGTCCAGACCTCTTAGTGTTTCTGAGTAGTTATAATTTCATTCTGTTAATGTGTGTCGGGTAATTAATTGCTAATGTTTATGTGGGCAGATAGTGGAAGAGCATCCCAGCGTTGAGCAGAGTCGGCGCGCTCAGGCAGAGCCCATCAGTCTAGACAGCTGTCTGAAAGCCTTCACCAGTGAAGAAGAGCTGGGAGAGGATGAGCTCTATTACTGCTCCAAGTGTAAGACCCACCGCCTGGCCACCAAGAAGCTGGACCTCTGGAGGCTGCCTCCTGTACTGGTCAGAAACGCAAATGATTTCCATTTCCTCTTTTTCTGTAGGAATAAAAATACTGCATGACTCTTAAACTTGAATTATTATGCATCATTGCAAGTTGCCCTTTGTAATATATGGGTGAAATATTTTTTTTTTATCCTTTCAGATTGTTCATTTGAAACGCTTCCAGTTTGTCAATGGTCGCTGGATTAAGTCTCAGAAGATTGTGAAGTTTCCACGTGAGAGCTTTGACCCCAGTGCATTTCTGGCCCCACGGGAGGTTGCTCAAAGCATGGGCAGCCTGCAGAGTGAATCCCTGGTAGAGGAGCTCCAGAGGCTGGAGAGAGGAGACTCTTCTGTGTCCTCCATCTCCACTACTACAGTGGCCAGTCCTCCCACTTCTGGCAGAGGTCTGTTTCTCTCTCTCTTTTCTCTTTTTGCAGACCTTTTGAATCATGAGACATGAGATTCTTTAATCATTGTATTGTTGTTTCAGGCACCCCGTGCTCCATCAGGAGGGTGGGCAGCCCAATGAGCAAAAACAGCAGCCCTGGCAGCAGCCCCAGGAATACAGGGCGGAAACAGGGGCGTCTGCGTCTTCCCCAGCTGGGCAGTCGACATCGACTCTGCAACAGCAAAGAAAACCTGGATGCCTGTAGCAGCAGCAAGGAGAGCGAGACCGAGTTGGAGCAGGGCACAGTGACGGATGGGGAGAATCAGATGCTATCTGATGCAAATGCACAAGACACCTGGTCACTGGACGCCCCAAGCAATGACTGCGATGTCATCATGGTGAATGGATTGGGACAAGAGAGCAGTCAGAGTAACGGACACTCGGACGTCAGCACAGACCTGGACACCCCTCACCAAAGAAATGACATCTGCCTGGAAACCCTGTACAATTTATATGCAATCTCAGTAAGTGATTCTTGTCTACATGTTTTGTTGTGTAATGAGTGCTTTTGTGAACAGCTTCTCTGACACTGTTATTATTGTTTTTCTTTCAGTGCCATTCAGGAATAATGGGAGGGGGGCACTATGTGACTTATGCCAAAAACCCTAAAGAAAAATGGTACTGTTACAACGACAGCAGCTGCAAGGTAAGATCTCGACTCTCTTTATTTTTTCACATCTCGGTTGTTTCCATTATTTTGCATTCTTATTGCACAGAGATAAAATATATATCTACAAAAGTAGAAAATGCTTCAACGAAGTAGAGATATCAAAACTATCAGTACTTTGCCGTTAAGTTGATACTAAAATAATCAAAAAGCACTACAACCTTTCTACAGTATCTGTCGTTTTAATTACCAACTGAATTTGGAAAGCTTAACATTAAATTTCATTTAATTGAGATAAATGTTATTTAAAATATTAAATTCAATTAAATTAAAATAGTTTGTTTAATATAAGTACTGTGGTATCAACATTGGATTTATATTCCTGAAATTTCCCTTGCATTGGTGTTGAATATTGAAAAAAAAAAAAAGTAAGTATTATGGTATTGTAAGTATTATGGTATCCACATTGGATATTGCACAGAGATAAAATATATATCTACAAAAGTAGAAAATGCTTCAACGAAGTAGAGATATCAAAACTATCAGTACTTTGCCGTTAAGTTGATACTAAAATAATCAAAAAGCACTACAACCTTTCTACAGTATCTGTCGTTTTAATTACCAACTGAATTTGGAAAGCTTAACATTAAATTTCATTTAATTGAGATAAATGTTATTTAAAATATTAAATTCAATTAAATTAAAATAGTTTGTTTAATATAAGTACTGTGGTATCAACATTGGATTTATATTCCTGAAATTTCCCTTGCATTGGTGTTGAATATTGAAAAAAAAAAATTTAAGTATTATGGTATTGTAAGTATTATGGTATCCACATTGGATTCATATTTCTGAAATTTCGTTTGCACTGGTGTCGACTACTGAAACTACTGAAAATTTTAATAAAAAAACTTAATTAGTGTTGAATATTGAAAAATTTAAATAAGATTAAAAAAATAATGTGTTCAGTATAAGTACTGTGGTGTTAACACTGACATTTATATTTCTGAAATTTCAAAAGTTGACTACTGGAAGTCTGGTTTCGTGACAACACTATGAGAAGTATTGCGCAACACCTAAAACAAACTGTTTCTTGTCGTCTTCAGGAAGTTCAGTCGGACGAGATTGACACAGATTCGGCCTACATCCTGTTCTATGAGCAACAGGGAGTGTACTACTCACAGTTTCTGCCAAAAACAGAGGGCAAAAAGATGGCAGACACCACTAGCATGGACGAAGACTTTGAATCTGACTACAAGAAGTACTGTGTGCTGCAGTGATGCCATGCTCTTCCACATCAAAGACACTGGGGCTGTCAGTACGCCAGTGCAATGACAACTGAAACGGCAGCGTCGCCCCAGAGGACCATCATTTGTGAAAGCACAAAATATCAGTTAGCTGACAGGCACAAGACCGCCGCTGACTGCTCTTTCAGAATAGAGGTACCTGACACTTCAGATACACGAGGGAGAGGGTGAATGAGTGAATCACAGAGAACTGTAGCGATCATGTGATTGTTGCCAAGCAAACAAATAACTGTTAGCCAATCCCTTGATCTCACCATTACAAGACAGACAAAACTGCTCTTTCACATGCCAGCCCACACAGGTGAATCCAAAAATCACGTAACAAGAGCTCATGCTTCTATATTGCTAATTTTCAGAATGCTAATTGACAAAACAGGTTGTTTTAATTAGGAAATTGACGGTGAAGATGGTATTGGTATCAATTATAGAGGTTTCTCTAAAGCTATTGTTGGCTTAGTTTTTTTTTTCTTCAGTAAGTTCCATACACTACCTCACATCTTTCGCAGTTGGCCAACTGTTCATAGAAAATCAGAGTGACAGTATTATATCACCTGAGGGCAGTTAAAATTACTTCTACTTTATATACAAAATTCACTTTCAAAAAAAAGTTGCTTTTTTTATTTAAATTAATTAAATATCCTCCCACTCCTCTGCTGCCAAATTATGCACGTACTATTTTTGTTGATTTTAGTTTTAAATCTTATTTAAGATGGTTACTTTCAGGCTTCGTTTCTCTTTAGAAGAGTTAATGTATTACTCTCCTTATTATTATTTTTTTATAAATTTATTTTTATCACTGATTACTTTTATGACTTTTTTTTAATGCAGTTGTTCACCTTGCCTAAACGCATTTGCTTACAGCTTTAGTCTCAGCTGTCTGATCAAACCACGTCCTCTCAACAAATGCACAGCTTTTTACAAGTTTTCCTGTTACCACTGTATTTTTTGCTTGGTAAAATACTGTTGACCACAGAGACTAAAAACGGCAACCAGATACATATCTAAACAATGTTTTCTTACCAGAGAGACTTTGCATGTCCAAGCCAAAGTGTTCAACTGGTCACGTACATAGTTTACGGGAAGCATTGCATACTGTTAGATGAGAGCATAAGAGGTATGTTGTGTGAACAGTATTAGCACGGAGAAATATTTCACAGCCTTTGCTTTTAGAGAACAGCATTCTCACTAAACTGCTGAACGTTCTGGACGTCTGTGTCGGAGGGTGTTCCAGGTTATTAGTAGCATTTCTTAAGTGACTCTTGATAAGAGAGCCCATCTTAATTAGCACTGTGAAAAGATGAATGAAATATTGAACGGCTCTTATTTTTCAGCAACTCATCAACTGAATGAGCTCCTCCTGTGAGGGTGCGTTAAACCCTTGGAAATCACCGGGAATCATTTGCAAACATCCATTTTGCTGCTGTACTTTTCAGATTTCCATGTCATGGATATTCAAACTAAATATTTGCCATCAAAGAAAGGTTTATCCCTGTTGAAAAAGAAATGTTTGTGAAATAAACACAGCTGTATTACTGTAAGGCGATTATTAATCATCATAATGAGTAATGCAAATATGATATATGGACTGTAAACATTTTGTAGGTATTTTAATGTTAAAATAAAAATAGATATCCAACATCCAAAATCAAAATATGATTTCACTATTCTCCAATTAAAATTGGACTTTTGCGCAATTACAATTACAGTAACAAATGTTTCTGAAACCACAAACATGTTTTAAACATTCACTGATTTTTTTTCTCTTTTTTTTATACAGGGATAATTTATTAAAATGGCAAAATTATCTCTTTTCAAGTAGTGCAATCAACTACTGATGTGTGTCTTTGTCCATGTTGTTAGTCCTAATTTTGTTAAATTAATTTTGATGAACTGCTAGAGATGTATTAATTTAATGAACTTGATTTTGTAAAGTGTTGTTTAAATAAAATTGACATTGCACTGACAAATGTACATAAATGTTTTGTAAATACGCCAATGAAAATGATGTATTTGAAAATGAACTGTACAAATGTACTTGTAGTTGTATATGGAGTGATACTGTAGATCTGTAACAATTATTCAAGAAACAAATTAAATGCAGCCAAATGCAAGTTCTTCTCATCTGTGTTTATTTGCTGGCCAATGATGCGAGGTGTTTCCTTCAGCAGCAAAGAGGAAACCACACACCTCCCTCTGTAGGCCTCTATAGAGTCCACTGCCATCAGTCAGACCTACTTCCTTGAATTCAAGCCACATTTGACATTTAAACGAACCTTTTGTAGGACCCTTCCACTTGCCTGACACAATATTTTCCTGCAAGACTATTTCCCTTGAATGAAATATACAAATTAAGCTACTGAGAATCGCCTTAAGACCTTTTTGCACATTGTGGGTTGAACAGTTTCACACTTTATAAATTTGGAGACTAGCATGCTGTAGTCAGGAAGTGTGTCGACCCGCATGCTGTGCTACTTATAGAATTCTGCTCTAAACCACAGGCACTGAAGAATTGTGGCTTATTGTTCTGAACAGCACCTTGGCCTCAGTGGTCTTCATGCATGTTCGCACAGTATTGTCCCATGCAGAAGAAGGTTAGACAATGGGGTGCATTGCATAATGAGTTCAACCTGGGGACCTGCTATTTTTATTGTCTTTTCTACAAGGTGACAAAACATCTTTAACGTTTGCTTTTCAGGTCTTGCATTTGAACATATAACATCGCTTGGTGATTTCATTTAAAACGAATAACATTTTCTCTTTTTCAGTTCCGATGAAACATCTCATTCAGATTTTTAAAAAACATGTGATGCTTTTGATGTTATTATGGCAAATAACGGTTCACCTCATTCAAACCAGACCAGTAAGTTGTTTTTTTTTCCAATGGCTACTATATTATATGTGTGTGTGTGTGTGTGTGTGTGTGTGTGTGTGCGTGTAAGTATACCATTTTCTGCTTTTATCGAATGAGGTGACAAATACAGGCTTTTAAGTTTTTTTATTTTAAATTAAACTGAATAAATTATACAAAATTACAGTATTGGGTGTATATTGCATGTGCCTATATGGAAACAGACTGTAGTTTATTTTACTTTGATGGCCATCACATAAAACGTATTTTTCTCCTTTTACAGAACTTGATTTCGGACACACAATTCTAATCTGCATCTATGCTGTTACCATTTTCTTCATGATTGTACTTGGATGCCTTTGCCTAAACAAGTATATAACAGCTTATTATTATTATTATTATAAAACAAACCTTTTAGTTTAAAGTTTTTATCTAATAATAGTTCTTAATATTAATTTAAATATTAAAGTTTATATATATATATATATATATGTGTGTGTGCGTGTGTGTGTGTGTATATAATAGCACACTACTATAAAATTACCATTAAAAGTTTTTAAATAAATATTGCAGTCATTTTTAAAAAAAATTTTTTTTTAAACAGTATCAGTACCAGATTTCAAAATACTCTGTTTGTGTTTCACTCCTCAGGTATCGGTCAATGAAGAAGATCATACGGGAGCTGAGACAAGGGAGGCCGGCTGTGATCCCCCAGGTTCCTTCCCAAGATTCTCCCCCTCCATCTCCTGGTGTCCTGAAAATTCCTGAACGGCCGGACCGTACTACAGAGAAACCATTACAGAGACAACAAACTAAATCGAGCTGCAGATTTCCCTGGAAGCCTCCACTACAGGTTTACTACAACTTTATTTTTTATTTTAAACATTTTACTCAATAACTCAAACATTTGTTGATGAGTTTTATAAATGTATATAAAATGCATCACAAGTATGAAATGTGAGAGACTAATTTGTATAGTGCTCCAACAATGTAACATGAAGAAATTATCTTTAGGTTCCTCAGTTCACAAAAGCAGACCTGAGCCTTATTCAGCTCATAAAGGCGGGTAGAGAAGGAGTCTTCTATAAAGCAAGGATAATAAGGGGCACATGTAGAGGCCATTCACTGGTCACTTGCAAAATTGGAAAAGAAGGTAGAAAACTACATGCAAAAAATATTTCTGTTACTTAAATGCATTTTGAAAACAAGCTATTGTTTGTACCAAAATGTGTGAATATCTCCATAATGATCCAGCAGTTGTTTAGATCTGCTGTTGTTTGCAGGTATCACCTCAAAGCAGATGGAAAATGAGGTGTCTATTATGAGAAAGCTGGCGTATCATAAAAATGTGATGCAGCTGCTGGACTGGAATACAGCGGAAGGTAAGACATGCTGCTGCACTTCAGTATTGTATGACTCTAATAAACCTTAAATGGATCCTTGCAGCTAGACAGTAAAATATAGACTAGACCTTGCCTGTGCAAAACTCACTGACATAGTCTTAGAGTGTTGTGATGGATGTCAGGGCATTGCTGAGATCTTCTGAATGGTTTAAGCATGTTGCTTTGTGGTTGCTAGGGTGTTTAGGTTGGTTGCTAGATTGTTGCCTACTGGTCCGAGTCAAAAGAGCTCACCCCCGAGTCTCTGTGATAATCTCATCCCAAAATATGGCCCAGCACGACATGCGGACAAAAATATATTTTTCATGGCTACAAGTCCTACAAATTAAGAATTCGAGGCCACAATTTACTAAAACGAGGGAACGAATTCTTAATTTGTGGTCACGATTTACTAAAACGAGGGAACTAATTCTTAATTTGTGGTCACGATTTACTAAAACGAGGGAACGAATTCTTAATTTGTGGTCACGATTTACTAAAACGAGGGAACGAATTCTTAATTTGTGGCCACAATTTACTAAAACGAGAGAATGAATCATTAATTTGTGCCCACAGATTACTATAACGGGAATGAGTCCTTAATTTGTGACCAGGAATTACTAAAACGAGAGAACAGATTCTTAATTCATGGTTACGACTTAACTAAAACAGGGGAACAATATACATTAACGAATCCATTTGTACTTGAAAGTTGCAATGCAACAAGCATTCCCTCTCCACTTCTACTATTATTATTTATTTATCATTCATCCAAGAAAATTTGTCAGACTTGTACTGAAATAATGTAGTTGTTTCCATCATGTGACCAAAACAGTGTCTTGTTTCCTCAGAGCCGTATATGCTGATCATGGAGTTCATGAGCTACGGAACCCTGCGCAGTTTTGTTCAGAAACAAAAAGATGAACTGATTGCTGACCCTGAACTGCAGAGCCAGTTCACCATCGCGTCCTACCACATCGCCCTGGCCATGGAGCACTTACGCTCCAAAATGGTATCACCATCTGCCACAAACATAAAACAGCTGTTCTGTTAAACAAACAGAGAGTCATATATTTACACTATAAACATAAATGCAAAGAATGATTTCGGATGCTTTCTTATTATTCAGGTGGTGCACAGTGACCTTGCCTTAAGGAACATTCTGGTGAGTCAATTCCCATGGGAGGTGAAGGTAGCAGAGTTTGGCCTGGCCAGAGACTTGACCCGTATGAGGAGCAGACGCAGCAGCAGAAAAAAACAACACAAGGTGAACTAATCGGACCTGTCCGTCCCCACATCCTCATTGCTCATTGCTCAATGATATGAATGTGATCTCATAGGAGCGTGTGCCGCTGCGCTGGTATCCTCCAGAATACTTCAGAAACAACTACTACAGCTTTAAGGGAGATGTCTGGGCGTTTGGTATTGTGCTGTGGGAAATGCAGACATTCGGTGAGAAATGTCTGAGATATTTGATTAATTTTGTTAAATGTTTTTGAAGAATAAACAGCGAATACTGAATTTTATATTTCACAGGCACCTTGCCGTATCCAAATCTGAACACATCTGAGGAAGTGGTGTATAGTGTCTGTGCTGGTTATAAGAACACTGTCCCCGATACCTGCCGTCCAGAAATGTGAGTGACAGTAGAAGAAAAAATAATATTTTTTTTCTTTTCTTTTTTTGGAGAGAGAATTTTTTATTTTATTTTTTTTTTCAAATGTTTTTTTTTCTGACTTCTACTGTTGTTTTATATATACACTACCGGTCAAAAGTTTGGGATCAGTAAGACTTGTAATGTTTTTTAAAGAAGTCTCTTATGCTCATCAAGGCTGCATTTATTTGATCAAAAATACAGAAAAAAAAACAGTAATCTTGCAAAATGTTATTACAATATAAAATAATGGTTTCTATTTTAATATCCTTTAAAATATAATTTATTTCTGTGATGCAAAACTGAATTTCCATCAGCATCATTACTCCAGTATAAAGTGTCACATGATCCTAATGAAATCATTTTAATATGCTTATTTATTATTAGAATTATCAATGTTGGCAACAGTTGTGCTGCCAAATATTTTTTGGGAAACTGTGATAACTTTTCAGGATTCTTTAATGAATAAAAAGTTAAAAAGAACAGCATTTATTCAAAATATAAATCTTTTCTA